GTGCCTCTGCCTGGCATTGAACCCGCGCCCGGCAGCCGATTGGTGCCTCTGCCTGGCATTGAACCCGCGCCCGGCAGCCGATTGGTGCCTCTGCCTGGCATTGAACCCGCGCCCGGCAGCCGATTGGTGCCTCTGCCTGGCATTGAACCCGCGCCCGGCAGCCGATTGGTGCCTCTGCCTGGCATGGAACCCGCGTCCGGCAGCCGATTGGTGCCTCTGCCTGGCATGGAACCCGCTTTAAACGCACTGTGGCGGCAGCTCGGGGGCCTTGCTGGGTTTGTCCCCTCATGTCCCCCCGCCTCGGCTACCTGGTTTTCGGTTAAGCTGCACTTTTTGAGACGCACCTTCAGCATTTCTTTGGTGGGAGGAATTTGAGTGGGTTTTTTTTGTTGTTGTTTTTTTTGCTGAGATGAGAGGTGGCACTGATCGTTTCCCCACCCCCCTCTGCTCCGCGGTCCCTGTAGCTTTGTAAGAACTGTCCCCTCCCCGATGCATCCCATAATAAGGTCTCCGCCTTCTGCACATTGCTTGTCTTCATTAAGCAGCTGTTTATATCAGCAGAAGCGCTGACTGGTTTGCGTGATGATAGACAACTAAGGGCCCTGTAGGCTCCCCCCGGAGCGCTCCATAAATCTCTGCCCTTTATCTCGCTTTGAATCTTTTTTAAAAGTAAAGAGAAACAAATTAAACAATTATAGACAGCTGCAGCACAATGTCTTTTGGATGATAGGATGCCATGGTTGGTGCATTTCAGGCAATTTCATTTTGGTGAAATTTCATTGAAGGTGGTACGCAGACCTGCATGTCCTGCACATGCGCTGAAAATCTCCCTGAAATTGGCCTGTCTTTCCTGACTCTGAAGCGAGGGGTAAAGACATGTGAAGTCCATCCTCTTCAACAGTGTTTCTCAGACCAGTCCTTGGAGACCCCCCACATGGTCCACGTTTTTGCTCCCTCCCAATTCCTTGAGAGCTGGGAGGGAGCAAAAATGTGGACTGTCTCGGGGTCCCTGACGACTGGTTTGAGAAACACTGCTTTAAATACAAGCTTTTCTCGAAAGCCTCTGCTAGAGATGAATATTACCTTAGATATTTTCTGGACCAGTTAAACCAGTTGTTATGCTGCCCCCTTGTGGTAAACAGCTGAAAGATGCCTGTCAAAGCTGCAAGAAACATCCATGGAGGGTGGAATTACCCTGTGTTGTCAATAAGTGCCTGTTGTAACACAAAGTAACCAATGAAAGATGATAATCCCGCCCTTATGGATACGGAGGCCTCATTTGGCCCGTCAGTTCCAAATTGCATTGTATTTGCCCGATTGGTTTTCTGAGTACGGGTACATGCACCTTCAGTGACTCCAGGAGCTGAAATCTGAGGTGTTTAATACAGTCAGAGCTTCATATTGTAAATAACTTCATGTCCCCGCAGTCTGTCAGTCCAGCATTTATGTTGATTCCCAGCTCTGCTCTCTCTCTCGATGGCAGTGATTAGTTTCTGAGGAAACGTCCTCCTGGAGGGACTAGATTTTTTTTAGTAGGAAAGCCCCACATGGCTAAAAGGTTCAATGTTGTCCCTCTCAGGTCTGGATCTGTGGCCTGTGTCTCTGTCTGCCTGCCTCTCTCTTTCTCTGTCTCTGCCTGTCTGTCTGCCTGCCTCTGTCTCTGCCTGCCTCTCTGTCTATCTGCTTGGCTGCCCCTCTCTCTGTCTCTGCCTCTCTCTCTCTGTCTTTGCCTGTCTGTCTGGCTGCCTCTCTATCTCTCTCTATCTGCCTGCCTCTGTCTATGCCTGTCTGTCTGCCTGCCTCTCTCTGCCTGTCTCTCTCTCTATCTGCTTGGCTGCCTCTCTCTCTGTGTCTCTGTCTGCCTCTACCTGCATACCGTATCACATCTTCAGCCGCTTCCCCTCTTCCCCTGCATGTTGTCTGGAGGTGCTGCTCAGCTCCTGTTAGCTTCTGACTGTAGAGTCCAGTTCATGTGCTAATAATCCCCTTCCTTATTTTCTGTGTTTCTACGGTGAGATACTGGCAGCACCCCCATACCCCCCCCCCCCCCCCCATACCAGGTCCTCAGGGCTTTCACCATACCCTATGGGTTCTTATTCCTGTCCTCATGTTTTTTCAGAGAAGCAGGAAACAGATGTTTGTTTGAGCACCCCAGCTAAAATACGGCTGTTTTAATAGTTTGCATTTTTATCTTCGTTTTATGTTAAAACGATGAATAAAGCAAAAATTCTGTTATAAATACATATGCCTGGAAGCACATCCATGTTGAGGATTAAATTAGATACTGCAGATTGGGTTCTAAATACCAAAAGAGATTAATTAAAAAAAAAAAAAAAACTTATCAGTAACCCAGAAAGCAGAAAATTTCATTACCAGGATCACACCGTCACTCGGAGTTTCCAGGTCAGCTGTTCAATTGGTCATATCTTCATTTTCTGTGCTGTAACCTATTAAAAGAAGTGGATTTAAAACCAGGCACAGATAAAATGCTAAGATACCTGTGTGGAGCCATTAGAATTGACGTGTGGTCTGTATCGGATAGAATGTAGCAAATATCCAGTCATCTATCATTGAAAAGTACAGTCCACTAAACCTGATGTCCTACCTGCTGTATTTTGTCATTGTTACTTTGTAAACATTGTGATTTATTTCCCAGTAATTTCTGAGACATATAATGGTTCCCCAGTGGAAGGGGAAATTCCGAATAAGATCTCTTCTTTGTCCAGTCTAATTCCTCTAGACAGAGCTCAGTTTAACATCAATATGAGATTTTGACCAATTTCTCATGCTACTTAAAATCAGCTGCTGAGAAACAGTCTTCCTCTCGTCTCAGTCTGATCCCAATTTACCATCTAAAAATGCTCTTTTTCTCTCATCGCACTGATCATTATTTATATTAAATAATCAGCTCTTGAGAAAACTGTAAGATCCAAATGAAACCTTGGTTGGCTTATAAATGAGCCTGCACAATACCGCAAGTTTGTTGCAGTGATAAAATTCAAGTCTCAACTCCATATTTTATTCGTTGTTGAACTCTGAGAAGCCCATAAGCACAGGAAAATAACTTTTTTGTGTTTCTCCTGTTATTCTCAAACTGGACAGGATAATTTGTCTTTGGTTGATTTATTCTTTTGCTCCTTATTTCTCCTAAGGGGGGGTGTGTAGGAGAAACGGGTGAGAAGTTGGTTTATCTCCAAATAGGATTTATTTCTGATGAGACAAACGAAACACTGTTGTGAGCAGCAAAAAAATTCCTCTGGATCAGCACATAAAACAGTTTTATGGATTTCAGAATTTGATGATTTCAGAATCATATTTTGTGGTAACTGGTCATTATTTTTACAGCAGAGAAAAACAGGTGTGGGCAGATTCTCAGCTTCAGTCTTGGCGTAGTCATGATTTGTGGTTTTCATACAATCCACATTTTAAATTCCTCTTTGATAGTTCCGAGACTGACCTTTGACCGAGAATCAGTTCTTTCACCTCTGATCCCGTGGAAACAGCCTGGGGGGGAGCTGGGCCGGGCCATCTCTCACACACAGAACTGCCAAGCCCCTAAGACACACTGGCATTGGGTCCTATGTGCCTCAGAGGAGCAAAGACACACATCACGCTCAAATGGAGAGTTCATATTTTCCGATGTAACCATGCAGAAATACCTTTCCACTGTTTTAATATGTTCTACAGATAAATCTTATTGATTTTACTGCCTGGTACATATTGAGGGTGTGAATATCAGACCTCGCACAAAGCGGGAGCCCTATTGGAGTGTGAAGCAGAGGCCGTCGTAACGCTCGCGTGTCGCGTGGGCAGCGAGCGTGCATTACATCGTGCATTACATCGTGCATTACAGCGTGCATTACAGCGTGCATTACATTGTTTGTCATCTTCTGCAAGGTGAAACTTCTGTCAAGCAAATGATGGGGCTTTTAAAAACTGTGCATGAGAGCCTGTGATGGATGCCTGTGTGTTTGAGAGAGCGGGCACCCGGGATTTCAGGGCGGCCCCCGTGTGGCAGCTGAGCCGCAGCGGGCACCCGGGATTTCAGGGCGGCCCCCGTGTGGCAGCTGAGCCGCAGTGGGACTGACGACCGTGTGCTGGCAGGCGGCTAAGAATAGCTACCTGGCTGCAAGGCTCCCCCGCTGCTCTTGGGATAGTTCCAGGTTTGTTACAGATGGAGTCTTGGAGAAAGGCTTTCCTCTGTATTTATGAATGAATTTCACCCTGTTTCTTGCTAGTCAGACCCCAGTCATCAACACCCTGTTGTTGTTGTTGTCGTCGTCGTCGTCTCATAGTAATTGTACACAATTGGGCAGCAGAAAATGCTCAGTTAGTGTTTGTGTGTAAACTTCCTTGGATGAAAATATCCAAAACCTTTTAGAATGGTCCCATTTGGTATTATATAGTTATTTATTTATTTTATTTGAATGGAGATGTTGGAACTATATTGTATTGCAAGAATTCCAAAATGTTTATTCAACAAATGTTTATTGTGTCTTTGGCGCCCCCTTATGTCTCTTTTTCCACTGCAGCTGGTCATCATGGCCGGTACGGTGCTGCTGGCGTACTACATGGAGTGTACGGACACCTTCTCTGTGCATATCCAGGGCTTCTTCTGCAACGACGCTGACCTTCTGAAGCCCTACCCAGGGCTGGAGGAGGACAGCTTTGTACCTCCTCTCATCCTCTACTGTGTGGTGGCTGCTGCCCCCACCGCTGTGGTGAGTTCCGCCCCGATTCATTATCTCTACTTACCGACAACTGGTATTGGCCACCATGAACAGGTGCTGTTGTTTATTTTTTTTTATATATATTGTAATGAATTTAGTTCTTTAACGGATTTTCGTCCAATGTGGATCCAAAACACCAAACCAGTCCTTAAATTTTAATAGAGCAAAACGTGCAATTGTAAGTAAGTACCACAAGAGGGCACTATGACACCAATGATCAGATGAGTCACAGCGTCGGATTGTCAAATTCTCCTATTCGTTTGAATGAAATTTGTCATAGATCATTTTGAAGACGTATTCTATCTCATTGTAGTTTTACAAGCGTAGCCAAGGCTGTTTTACTTTAGAATTAAACTTCCATTTGCTTTTGAATGTCTTATTACAGCGTCTTATTGACTATAATACAATATAACGTAACTTTAAATTGAACTCACATTGCCAAGCATTTCATCAGACATCCGCGATACCCTGACATGTGTCGACTTCGGCAGACAGCAATTAAAGTTTAACCGAAACTGCTACGAGGCTCGGCATATTTTTACAGTTTGACGCTGTGACATTTGTTCCCTTGAAACGGAGAAGCGGCCGCTTTGACGCGGCTCCCTGCGGCCGATGAGCTGCATCCTTAAGCTGCGGCTTCCCTGAAACCCCGCTTCACACACTCAGGAACCATTTCAGTGCGCTTGCTGTGTGTATTTATGCTTTTGTGGACATGATTTTTTTCTATGCTTAGTATATTTCATTAGCACAAGTTTTCCTTGTTTTGTTTCCGCCCCATGAAACATGCCAGTCAAAAACCACTTCCTGCATCTTCTTAAAAATCTCATTATGTAAGGCATAATACAGTTTTATGTTAATTTATCAAATTGCCCCCTGCCGGGCGATTCTGGACACTGGAATCACGCTCGAGTGTTCGCTAAAGGGCGAATATGCTGCAAAAACCTGCCAGCACAGTAACTCCCGCATTAAGGACCTGCCGACGCTGCTTTGGGCTTATTACTATGCGGCTTGTAAATCCGCCACCGGTCAATGCCGGAGGTGATATGCAGACGAACCAAACGTGTTTCCCACGGCCCTAAATTGGGCTGTGCCACGTCACAGCCTTGGGTAGCAGGGAAGCGGCGCCCCCTACCTCGGCACAGGTGGTCCTTCACCTTCCTGCACCTAACTACTAGACATTAGGCTCAGCTGGGAGTCTCCCTCCCCTGGGCTGACTGCTCTGATTTATTTGCATAAAACCCAGCAGGAAGAAACAGCTACCCCCCCCCCCCCAAAGATGTTTATTCCCTGAAGTCCCAGTATCTAGACGAAGGTACTGAGTGATCACCTACTGCCGTGGTCCTGATGGAGAGGATAATGAAATCTTGCTTTAGAGAATAAATAATGCAGTTTTTAACATTTTTGTTTGCCTGTTATGAATTGTTCTTTTCAGAAAAACTGATTTCCTTTTGCCTTTATAGATTTTCATAGGGGAGGTCTCCATGTATATTGTGAAATCGACGAGGGAGGCTCTCATAGCCCAGGAGAAAACCATTGTGACGGGGGAGTGCTGTTACCTCAACCCCCTCATCCGCAGGATTATACGCTTCATCGGTGAGTCTGAGAACCACGAGGGCCCCCTTCTTGTGGGGTTGTGATCTGGCAACCCCAAAATATCCCCCCGTCCAAGAAATCACATTTGAAATGGCTCTCTGTACATTGGGGTAAAACCGTAATTTTGCCCAAATCTGGATGTGCAAAATGGTAACTATACCAGCAAAGTGGTACTTTATACTGGCTGTGTTAACTGCAGTTTCACCTTCATGAAACATCACCTCCCATGGGCCTGGCGAATGTCACAGAGATTACAGGGCAAACGGCTCCTGATACAGGGCCGGAAGCCAAGGCAGCTCACATTGATCACCGCTGAGTTATAATCTTATTAAAATCCATCACTGTTCCTCAGCTACCCCTGGCCAGCATCTGCATTTCCTGCTATCCGAGCATCAAAAACTCGATACACACGGATCCCATGGCAGACGTCTTATTTGCATTTTAATTACATCATCTAGTGTGACGTTTTACAACGTCCTTCATATGAATGGAACGATATTGACGGGATGCATTCTAATGAGATCGGACATGTGGAACCCAGTTAAAAGATACTGTTTACCGCATGACAAGAGTGTCTGCTGCCTGCTACCATAATTAGCGCTCTTAGCTGGGTTTAAGATATGGTATGAAAAACTAACACCCCCACCACCAGCATCAACTCAGCTTAAACCTGTGTGGTTCACATCACGACTTGGATAGGGGGGACCTTTCAATCTTCTTTAAACCATGCAGGGGCCTAAATGCCAGCAGTCACACACTAATGGTCATTAGCAATGGGTTAGGGTGTTTCACTTCGGTCTGGCTTTGTTCTGGCCCAGAACTGATCCTTCTAATTGTCTTAATTGAGTAGGTGTAATTCCACTCTGGAGCCTGTATTTTGCATTAAAAAAACCAGAGAGGGGGACAGAGTGGTGTAACTAGGGGACAGTCTAGTGCAGTGTTTCCCAATCTGGTGCTTTGGGACCCACAGACAGTCCTTGTTTGAGCTCCCTGCCATACAGTGCACATTTTTGCTCCCTCGCACCTGCCAGAGCTGGGAGGGAGCAAAAACGCGGACTGTGTGGGTCCCGGGGGACCAGTTTGGGAATTGTTGGTTTACTGCAATTATGGACTCAACGCCAAGACCAGTATGCAGTTAAATCTGACTGATGCGCCCTTTTCAGCATCTTCAGTTGAGTTTCCCCATCAGCGGGGATCTGTAGAAATTATGTTTGGATATAATATGAAGGCACATCAAGTGATCCATCCAGGAGAAGGCTTATCCTTAGCATGTCGACTGCATGGGTGCGTGTTGAAAGCTTTGGTTGCCCAATAAATTATTGATTAGAGACTTAGGCAATCCTGTCCCCAGGGCTTTGATTATTGTGTCGAGCGTGCGCATAAAAAATGATCCGTGCAGGAGCTGTGTGATCGTCCACACCAGTAACCAGATGGGATGTTTTGTTCTTTCCTTTGTTCCTTGCCGTTTGATGTCATCGATCATGTGTGGCCTGCCGTAAGCTGGGGCCCCCAGTCTGGCCACCCCTACTGAGAGATGGGGATAATTGGTTTACTGGGGTGTGGCAATTTCATGGCCCGCTAAGCCGGCCTGCCCAAGGTTTTTATAAGCAACGGCCTACAATGTTTTTGTTTTCTTAGCAAATATTAGTTCTACGTTATGAGTTGTGTAAAATGCACCATGATGTTACAGATGGTTTGTTTAAACTTCAGCTTCGTTTTGCGCCCATTTGTTCTATAAATTGTGAATATATATATATATATATATATATATATATATATAATCTCCTTTTTGCCTTGTCTGTTTAGCTAGCATCCATGTAACAAAACATTATGTAATAATTTGACAAAATGTCACAAATTTCCACTTGCATAATAGCGCCCCCTATTTGTAATAACTTGAATGCATCATGTATTTTCCCTATATTTAAAAATACACTTGCATATTGTGGTGGTGGTTACAAAATTTAGGAGTTGTACTTTTTAATGATGAAAGAGCAGTAATAAGCAGCCAAAATGGGTGTAATAAATGGATGTCTTCATTGACACTTTGTCAAGTTATTACATAATGCGGTGCTGTTACATAATGCATTGTTCAGTCCTTAAGTCAGGTCTCTGCGAGTTATCCCAGTCCCATTTGGGTTTTGATGATGCCGCCATTTCTGCATTCTGGCAGGCGTTTTTGCTTTCGGCCTGTTCGCCACAGACATCTTCGCCAACGCTGGCCAAATTGTGACTGGGAATCTGTCACCATACTTCCTGAATGTGTGCAAGCCCAACTACACGGGCACAGACTGCCGCTCCAACCAACAGTTCATCGCCAACGGCAACATCTGCACCGGGGATCAGGTGGTGGTGGAGCGAGCCAGAAGGTCCTTTCCTTCCAAGGATGCATCGCTCAGTATTTACTCAGCTGTCTACATGACGGTGAGTGCACCACTGCCATTTGGCCACAGGGGGCAGCACACTGACATTCCTTAAGTAAATGCATAGCGACCTGTTTTGACTAATCGCAGGGACACCAGAGAGAGGCTCCAGGGAACTAGACATGTGCACATAAGAAGCATACAAATCCTTTGCCCTACTTCTGTATAGCTGCCAGCGAGACCTGTACTCTTACAAGCATGGTTAAATGTGAATTTCCCCTCTCCCAAGCCAAGATTTGTTCAACGTACAAAGACTTTTAATTTTTCATAAACCTGCTATCTTTCATCTATGGTGTGTGTTCCTACCTTGTGGAGCAGTGGGAGGTACAGTCAAGATACTTGCGCTTAAAAGTGAGCTTCACAAAAAAGGATGATGTCATTTAATGAAACACAAAGGGTTATGTGTGTGCGTGTGCGTGTGCGTGTGCGTGTGCGTGTGTGTGTGTGTGTGTGTGTGTGTGTGTGTGTGTGTGTTTTTTCCCCCATAACATCTTGAGTATCATCAATTCCTCTTTTCTTGGGGGATCATTTTGACTCCCACGTGTAATTAGGGGAGCAGACTCCTCCCCACCATCATGCTCCATGATGCCGTAGAAATGGGCTGATCCTCCCCCTGCTTTCCCCTCCCTGGATTCCCCCCCCCCAGATGTACATCACCAGCACAATAAAGACAAAAAGCAGCCGACTGGCCAAGCCAGTGCTGTGCCTGGGCACCCTGTGTGCGGCGTTCCTCACGGGCCTCAACCGGGTCTCCGAGTACCGGAACCACTGCTCCGACGTGATCGCCGGCTTTATCCTGGGGAGCACCATCGCCCTCTTCCTGGTAAGGGCTGCTGAAGAGCCGGCCGTCCGTCTCTCTCTGTCTCTCACACACTCACACGCACACACACACACACACACACACGCACACACACACACACAAAACCCCACCAGAGGGTGGGTCTGTGAAACTGCAGACAGGCGTCCAGGCGTGATAGGGTGAGTGCCGCTATCATTTCTGATTGGCTGTGCAGATATAGTGCCTGCACTTTGGCTCTGGGTCACGTGGCCTGATGTGGAATCGCATCATTGTGATTATCGTTTCTTTTACGATGACGTCATGGCTGTAGGATTGGATCTTGACTTGTGATTTGAAGTCTTGCTGTCCAGCTGCTACAATAGCCTTAAGACATGCATAATTCCAGCATCTGTTGGCTTATTTCATATTTTACATTGCACTGTTACATGTTTTGGTAACGCTTAACTCACGGCACAAATAATGTATTAATGTATTAATTAACCAGAAATTAGGGGTTACGTACTGGTCCCGTGTTCCTTCATCACCAATTAATCCTAACAGCTCATGTATTTCATGATATAGTTGTTCGTGATTTATACTTGAGTAGTAACTGAGTTACTAAGTCTTCTTAACTTCTTAAGTAAAGCGTTACCAATGTTTTGAAAATGTCCCTCAGAGGTACAACAGACAGTTTCCCCTGCTGCACTCAAACCGGTGGCCATTTGGTCCCTGAGTCAGTTTTCTTACCCATCATGCTCGCTGCCTGGCCTGGGCCATGTGGCTAACCGTGAGTGTCCCCTCTGGCAGGGGATCTGTGTGGTCCACAACTTCAAAGGCGTCCACGCCACCCCTGTCAAGCGGAAAGGGGAGGAGTACCGCGGCCTGCCCCTCATGACCTTTCCGCGGGTCGAGAGCCCCTTGGAGACCCTCAGCGCACAGGTACACAAAGGGCCCGTGATTCCGATCCCCGCCTATGCTCTCCGTACTCATATTCCATACTCTTTTTTTTTTTTCTTTTTTTTAAAATATATATTGATAAGTTTTACTTAAAAGAATACTTCATCCTGGACATGAATTTTATTCGTAATTCTCCTGAAAAATTGAGACTCTGCAGGGCTATGGTCAACCTAAACTATGCTGCTATTCCTTATTTTCTTAGCAAAATCGTAAATAAAACTGGATGTGGAAGCCAGGAGCAGCTAGATGGCATAAGACTGGATGTGGAAGCCAGGAGCAGCTAGATGGCATAAGACTGGATGTGGAAGCCAGG